GAATTTTGAATCAAGTTCTTATATTTTTTTATTAGAACCTTCGAATTTATCCCGTTGGTACCTGTTTAAAACTGTTTAATAAAAACTAACCATGTTAAAAAAAAAAAAAATCCCAAGATGTGAATTCCCAGAGAGCTTGCACTCTTGTGTGTTCTGATTCTGAGCAATGAAGCCATGGAGAAATCCATAATAGTAACAAGCTTGCGAGATAGCAGTTTGAAAAGCCACCTTAGCATCTTTAATTATTATACGACCTTCATCTTCATCATCTTCCAGTCCTTAATATAAAAGTTAATTGGAAACTGAATTTGATTTTATATATAAGAACTCAATCTACTTTATCTCCTGTCTTTCTCCAAAATGTCCTTATTCATTACAAGGGGTTCCTATCAAGTGATAATTATAATCATTCACTACATATGATTGAAAAGAATAATTTACAGAAATCAATACATAGTTATAATAAATAATTAACTTAACTAAGTTTTTTAATCTTTTTGCATTAGTTATATAATTTTTATATTAAAAGCATTTTGCAATGTGATTTTATTATTTTGTCCAAAGATTAAATATTTGGCATCCAACCCACGCATCAGCTTTTAACATTGATGGGAGATGCATGTGAGTGAAGGGAGGTGGCAAAGGATACTGGGGAGGTGGGGGGAGGGCGAGAGAGAGAAGGATAAGAAACTATTTTCAGATTCACCAAAAAATATTTCCAAATCTGGCTTTAACTTTTGCACACATGAGATTTATTTCTAGAAGTTTGCCTAGTTGTCCGTTATCTCATGGTTGGCTAACAAATCTGTTAACAACCGTTTAACTATTATTAACTGTTTTAAACACTATGACCTAATAGTGTTACCAGCATAAATTAGAAGGATTTGATACAAAGAAACAAAAAGAAGGGACTTGATTCAAAACTCCAAAAAAAAATTCATAAGGATTGAGAAATTACTTTTCTCAAGTATTTTCTTTAGTCTTCTAACCTTCCCATTGTTGCTCTCATATGACAATTTTTTGTGCTAATTATTATTATTTTAAAAAAAGGTAAAAATGCATATTTGGTTATCTACTTTCATAAATGTTTGATTTCGTTATTTAATTTTTTAAAATATCCTTTTACTCCTCTAATTTTTTAAAATATATTTTTAGTTCTTTAATTACTCCTAACATATTAATTGCAAATAATAATTTTTTATTAGTTATTGTTATTTAAAAAAATTAAACTATATCAGTATTTTTAAATGTTTCGTTAACATGTGAAAAATTGGTTGAAAGGATAATCTATAAAATTAAATGATTAAAATAAAACTTTTTGTAAAGTTAAAAAATAAAAAATAAAATAAAACTCACGTCAAATAATTTTTTGCAAAGTTAAAAAAATAAAAAATAAAATAAAACTCACGTCAAATTTATTAGATTCATTAAATCTAGTGCCATGTGCACCACCAATAAAAATTTTTGTTAAAGAGAGGGGTTCAAAATAAAAAAGAAAAAAGAAATAAATGTGGACGATGGTATGTAATGTATATAACCGGAAAAGATAAAGTTAATTAGAAATTAAGAGCAAAATAGTGACAGGGAGTACCCCAAAGTCACTATTAAAACATATCCAAACATCATTAAAATGATGTTTATAAAATTATTTTTATTTAGATTTCATATTTATCAAAAGTAAAAAGTTTTCAAATAATCTGAAAAAATAAAACAACGTGAAATATGAAAATGATCCCACATTTATGATAACCAGCATATGCTCATTAATCATGAATCATACCAGTAATTGCTTTATCATCTTTGTTACATTTACTTTTCCAATGGCTTTATCTTCTTTGTCTAGTTGGTTAAAATATAAAAATGGCAAATAAGTACTAAAAAATACAATGATTACTTAGTAAATTTAATTTAAATTAAAAATAATAAAAAGCTACATATGTAACATCCTAGATATATTAAAAATTGTATTAGTTGTTGAGTTGATATTGGTCAACACATAGGTTCAATGATCAAAGGTCATCTACTCATGGTTAAGCTAAATTGAAGTGAATTAATACTACTTTGGTGTTTAATATATGAGCAAAATAACTAATTTACAAATATTGATAAAACTAGTTAAATTAGTTACTTGTAATAAATAAGTGTTACTTTTTATAAAATATCCTTGTTAATTATGTACGTTAGAATGAAAACCATTTAGCATGTCCAATTATCATGGGGACAACTTTAAAAAAAATAAATGAATATAAAAGACAAAGTAGATTAAGTTCTCATATTTAAGACCAAATTAAATCTCTAACCAACTCTTATATTTAAGACCAAAGGTAGTATGTGTTTAATTATTCAAATATTAATTCAAATAAGATAAATCTTAAATAAGAATAAAAACTGCAATATAAAAAATAAGCTTCTAGAGTAATATATATATTCTTTCGGTCCTTAACTTCGGTCCTTAACATAGGACCTAATTATTAAGTTGATTCTGATCCTAAATATGAGACCTGTTTTTTTATATTTATCAATTTTTCCTAAATCACTCCTATAGATACTCCCTCAACCATAATCAAGTAGAAGAAAAAAAGAGGATATTGGGCAAAATGATTATGGTATTTTAAGAAAAGCGTGTCATATTTCTTATAATTAACTAACTTATATAACTTTTTTAATCTAATCAAATTAGTTAAATAGGTCTTATATTAAGGATCAGAAGAGTACCAAGAAGTAAGAAATAGAATGGTTAATTAGGAGACCTTTATCGCATTTGTTTCATATTCTGTAAAAGCATTCTAGGAGGCATATCCAAATACCAAAAGATAGAAAAATTCCAGAGCTTGCTAAAATCCCAAACACTATTTATATTGTTGCAGGTCATAGAAAATAATTTTGAGAGGGGGTGAAGGAAGAAGGAGACGTAGACTTTGAGAATTGGATAACAAAATACATGAGAAAGAGGAAGAAGTAGAAAAGAAAAGCAAATCAAGACTTTCACAAGTCCTGTACTTCTTAATTTACAAATAGAAAGGATCGAACAGTTGCATCTAAAATAGCGAAACGCTTCATAGTTGATATGATTGATCTTAAGACAAAAATCAATTTTAATTTTGACATTTAATTTAGCCCGTCAATTATCAATATATAATGTGAAATTTATAATAAATATAATTATATATAAATTATTGATGCTATAAATTATTGTGCAAACTCTAAATAATTGAAACATGCTTCTAGATTCTAATTTTTCTAAAAGTATTTTATGATACTAATTAATCATATACATTTTTTAAAAAAATTATCAATGATTAAAAAGGTTAAAATTCACACTTTGTTAAATTACAAGCTTCTCACTTGTTATAAGATGAATTCTTTTATACTTAAAATGCCACATCATTTTTAAGGGGGAAAAAAGTTATCCGTTTTGTGAAATTTCAATGATCATTACTCTTTATCAGCCTGAGTTATTTTATGCCGCAGTTTCATACATTACACTTCACATATTGATTAAAAAGAGCAAAGAATCCAATTGAAAAAAAAATAGTATTCTAGCAAACAAAAAAAAGAAAAAAAATTATTTTTTTGTTCCTCCAAATTTTAACACAATTATCACCCAGTTTTTTAACTTTAAACTCATTAAAACTTAGTTCTTAATTTTTTATTTAACAAATTAATTAATTCTTATCATACCTAACTCATAACTCATCCTTAGCAGGAAAAGAAGTTTTTGCCACTGTTAAAAAAACAAGGTATTGTGGCTTATAAGTAAGCTCAAAGTGACTGGGAATATACCACTTCATGATCTGTTATGAGACAGCTGATAATAAAAAGTGTGTTTAGATTAGCCGTGATAAAATTGACTTTTATTTATTCCAACTGACTTTTGTAAATTGAAGTTAAGATAAAAATCAATTAATGTAATATGATTTAAGTTTTGATTGGTGTTTATAAAAAGTTATTTGAAAAGTTAAAACTTATTTAGATAGATAATAAAAAGTAAATTTAGATGTAAAATAGCTAAAAAAAAACTTGAGTTTTGTTAAATAAAAATGGTTTGAGCAAAGATGACCAAGAAACAACTATTCACATATGCCAATGTCAAAATGTTTCATAACGTTCAGTAAAGAATAATACTTGCCTTAAAAGAAAGAAACTCAACAACAGAGTAGATGGCTTGAGTACTGTTGTTTGCTCTCATTCAGTGACAAGTAACAATTTAGGCAAGATTTCAACTTATGCAAGATTTCCCGATCGGAAAAGGACGTCCGTCTGCAATATATATACAGAAATGTATTAAAATACAAAACTTCAGCTCTATCAAAAAGTAATTAAAAGACTTCAGTGACCAATGCTGCTACATTCAATTCCATGAAAAGGTGTTAGATGATCCTGCAAAGCTAAGCAAGTTCAGTATATAGTAAAAAAAATCAATGGATTTAAAAACGATGCCTCCGCATATTTATTAAAATTTTATAATGATATAATGGCTTCATGGAAATAAATCAAAAGAACAATACCACAGTGCTTGTCTTCAAGCTTATGATTATCTAATACTTTATTCTCCCTTGTGACCTAACTTTTTCATATAACCATACACAGGACATTTCATAACTTACTTCATGGATATTTTAACACCAACTTTAATAATATTTAAGCAACATTACTAAGAATTGATTTGTCTACGGTGACTTTCGCCCATTGGATATGGAAGCCTTTTACATAGTTTCTGACAAAAAGTTGACTGAAAAGTGAGTCTCAGACGTGTTAAATTTAAAGAATCCTTGCCACACAAGCCGAAACTGAAAAGACCATGAGTTCTGCTATATTTCAGTGACATTCACAATCTTTGCTTAAACATGTATCACTTAGATAGCTCGCTAAACATGTTCAGTAAGTAGTGTGCGGGTCAAAGTTAAACGCAAAGAAAATTGAGAAACATTCCCAGCACATTATACAGAGTGTCAAAATTCCATAAAATGAGAAAGAAAGAAATTGAACATTTTAAAACACATTCCAGATGAAAATATTACCTCCACAACATCAGTATCAAAGTTAACTACCTGAAAGCAAAAATATTAAAACACACATAACATATATATCAAATATAAATTAAGCAGAATACATATGGTCCTCATCACATCGGTGGGAGTTCCATACGAAGTCCACTTACAGACAGGAATAGCAAACCTACTCCTACTTAGAACACCTAAAGGGGAGTCTATGGTCCAACTCAAAGCACCCACCAGCAAAGTGAACAAATTAAAAACAACAGATTAAGTATAAAAATTATGAAATTATGAATTAAAACCTTACATGACAAAAACTTCATAATATTTAGTTGTCAAAATATCAAATAATGCAAGTAATGCGGTTATAACCAACACATTGTCCTATTCATGATCGCATAAGGTATTCAGGAATCAAGAATAAATTCAATAGATCACCTTGCACTATGTCAAACATTTTAAAGTCCATTTACTGATACATGCCACTAACACAAACCATGACCAAACAACCACTTTTAATGTTGGTGCTGGGAAAGCATTTTATAAAAGAGGCGACAACCGTTGAGAAGAAAACTTTTAATGTTGGTCCAGGGACAAAATATGAAGCAGAAGCTATCATTTTGAGTTATAGAAAGCAGATCAAACAGTAATGATATTATATTGAGAATGAAAACCTCTTGAGGTTGCTATAGAAAGCACCTCAAATTGTAGTGATATTAATATGGAGCATGTGATAAAGACCTGCATAAGGAGAGGAGATATTTCCATAAAAATGGTTCAGCAAAAGGCATCAGTCTTAAACATATGCTAGTCTATTCATCAACCTTTGATCAGTCCAAATTGGTCCTAGAAATATATTAGGAGATTGCATAAAAATTCAGGAATCTAAATATAAAACTGACTGAGTATTTATTGGAACTTATCTGTCTCTCAAAGACCTTGAAATAGTATAGCAGAAACAGTCCAAAGATCAACTCTGAAGTTGCTGAAAAAGCAAATATGGACATCATCAATTCCTGGAGGCAAAGCTTTCCAAATATGTCTTGAGAGGGAGGGAGCAATATAGGAAGTGGTGAATTTATTTGACACCAGAAACAGTCCAAAGATCAACTATGGGACATAATTTTCATATTGAAATGCCCAACGACCAGTCCAATTTAATAAATACAATATAATGAAGATGAAAACTATCAACTTGATCGTCAATTGGATTGACATCTACTGGTGAATTTATTTGACACCGGATATTTAATCACAGAAAATAAAAATAGATCAATTAAATTGAGAAGATCACCTGGTAAGACAATCATAGCCTGCTATAACAACCTTTGATATCGAAGAAGATAGTAAAAAGTGCCAAGGTGATAATGAGAGTCATTATGATGGGAGCATTAGCTGTAACAAGCAAAAATGACTAAGTATTTGATTCGTGAATATGAGATAAAATACCTCCATTTTTATGTCTTGGGTTAGAGACCTATAGTAGTAGTAAATTACATCTACATATCTATTAACTTTGTTATTGCCATCTTTTACTTGAACAATAATTATGACAATACCTGAATTCATTATGCAAGTTAGACTGAATTATTACAACAGTTATTTACGTGTAGTATCATGCATGTAGCTTTCATGCTGCCAAATTGCTTTGCTAATAGATCATTTCTTGAAAAAAAAAAAAATATATATATATTATATATTAAAAGATAGCATTTGGGGAAAAATCCTCAACCAGCATCCGTGGATTTTGAACTTCTATGAAGGTATTTGGGAAGCGTCATCAATAAAGGCACTGCATGAATAAAACTGCTAGTCTGCAACCCTACAAAAGAATAAAAACAATCACAGGAACTGAGGAAAACGGACTACCCAAATCAGAGTGCCAGTGCATTGTCTGTAAAAGCTCCTGTCACGTTGCAACAAGCGCAGCATACAACTAATTACAACAAGGAAAATACCTGAACCACCAAATTCACCCCTTTATGTTCTCGAATTCCCAGGCTCAGGTAGGAATTTAAGAAAGTCATTTTGTCAACATATGACGGCCATTTTCGTCTCCTCGAGATCTATGCCGGTACGCCCTTCAAAGTTCAGTCTCCATGGACTCTTACGAGCCATTCAAGAACAAGAAGATAGAGAATCTTTTGTGCTCGTTGCTCAAGAGCGAGAGGCAGCTCCCGATCAGATCTATCATAGACCGGCGAGAGGGGAACAGAAACAAAAAGAAAGAATCTAGTCCGACTCATATCATTAACAAGAACTGAAGGGTAGAAAACATAGCATCGCCGTAACAAGCCAACTAGACCGGCTTTTAGCCTATAGGTGAACCCAGCAGCATGCGCCATTGCAAGGCCCGCATGATAATAGATACGACGGTGTGCCCAGACTAGCTCATATAACAACTGAACTAAATCAATGCTAATATAACCAATGGAGCTAAGATTACTAAGATGGATTCTAAACCAGACCACATTCAGGGCAGAAGGAATGCAGTTCTTTGATCCAATGGTTTAGCAAATGACCCAAAAACAAACACCAAAACAAAAATTGTAAAACTGCAAGCTTCAACAATAGGAGCAGATAATAGGAATGAGATTAAAGTACCTTGCGATATGTGGTACCGTCAGGTTCAACAGTCCAACCAGCCTCATTGCAGAGAGCCTTCAAGACTTCATTGTTGTCGCAGTGCTTGGGGAGCTTGTAGTTGCCATACATTCTCACACCAGAGAAGATCTTCGCCGCTATGGCTCTTCGCCTCCTCTCTCTCCTCTTGTTGATTTCCCTCTCCCTCCAGGTTGGTAGCCTGGTACCAGACGTCATCTTGCTCGCCGAGAAAGCTCTCAGACGGAAAATGAGATACGAGAACGAACTGGAAGAGTGTAAATTGGAGGTATAATTGCCAGATTTCTTAGCAGCGGAAAATAATCAGAAAACAAAACAAAACGCTTCACGCGTCGGGATCAAAGAATTAGTAATGGAAAAGGAAAGCCCAGAGAGGCTGGACCAAAAAAACATTCAAATACAAGCCACAAACTCTGCTATAGTCAGAAATTTTCATCAAAACGACATGATTCAGCGGCTGAAGCATAGCTCACTAATTCACAGCTCCAACACGACGGAGCCGCAAATCGGAGCAAAACGGCAACGGATGAAGTAGATATACAGCTCAAATCGGAGGACTCCAGATCGGGAAGTAGCTTCGGAGGTCTACGCAGCGTTTAATTGGGGCAGAATCCAAGCGGTGCAGATCTACACAGACAGAATTCAGAGGTGGATTGAGTGAGATCGGAATAACATGCCCGCCGAGAAACTGCTAGGAAAACAGGAAAAGGTATCGATGAGAAAACCCGGGAAATGTGAAGGGAGAAGCAGAAAAATCATCATGGGTTTTAAAAAATGAAGGGATTTCAGAGAGGCAGAGCGTTGGGGTAATACAAGCAGAAAGTGAAAATGGCCATATTGATACTTGAATTCACCGTAATGCCCAATCAAGCTTCCGTTTGTGCGTGAATAAGACAGAGAGAGGGGGAGAGAGTGCCCGCGCGCGTGTTGTGTAGATTGTGGGTCGAAGCGTGAGTCACACGGGGTGACTAGACTACGTGCCAATGGTGACTGACCCCAATTGCGATCAATATCTTGAAAATTAATTATTTTGCTATTCTAATATTTTCTAATTTTAAATTTGATCCTAACTCTAAAATTCTCTTGTTTCTAATATTTATCTATTTTACTATCAAATAATTCTTATAATAGTTACATATATTAAAGAGTTAGTATCAATTGATAATTCAAACATATATGATTAATAAGAGTATTTTAAAGAAGACTATATGTAATTATTATAAATAATTAACTTAATTAACTTCTTTAATATCTCTAAATTAGTCAACTAAGTCTCATATTAAGATCCGGACGTGGTATAATTTATAACTTTGTTTATAAAATTTAGTTGAATAGTTGGCAAAAAAAAATTAATTGAATACAACTAAATTTCTATAATTTTAAAAATTCAATTGTTTTTAACTTAAACTCAATAAACTAAATACTTATAATTGAGTTATATAAATACTACCTTTCTAATATAAGAGTTAAATAAATAATTTTTAAATATAAATTAAATCTCCAACCAAAATTTATTCTAGGGACTCAAGATAAACTTTTTTTTTTAACCTAGTTCGACAAATTTCTACACACGCACTCTTTTTATGAAAAATAAACAGGAGTGCAATTCTATTTCTTATTATAAGAAACATTTAGCTTTAATTTGGAGCATTTATTCGGTGGCACAAGAATTGAAGCATTTATTATTATTTTTTACACTAATACCCTCATTAAAAATGGGACAGATATGCTACCTGAAAACACACCATTAATGAATAAACTGTTTTAGTTAAAGTCTTAAAGCCTATTAGTGGGGGGGGGGGAACCTGATAAACTTTTATACGCAAAAAATATTTATACTTTGTAAATTTTGCACGCACATGGTATAAATACTCTGATTTAAATCATTCTCATTAATAAAATTTTCAATGAGAGCCCTTCCCAATTTTGCCATTATTTTTTAAAATTACAAGTTTTTAATCTTAATTTTTAAAATTTTTGTAAATCGAACTGATCAAAATTTTTCGTTTTTCCCAGAACCAATCTGGGCGTAAAATGATTGGGGTGGATAAAACACGAATCATAAGAATTCAAAGGAATAGGAATGGTCACAAAACGAGAATTACAAGTTTATTGATATGACGACGAATTAGTGAAAGAGACCCAAAGCCTGAAACAATACGATTGAGACGAAAAGTCAAAGTCATTTTCTATTTACAAAACGCACTTCTTTGACCTATGATCCAACTCCGTGAACCCAGGGAGAGTTTCGGTACTTCACTTGAAAGATATGGGTTTGTAAGCCAAAACAAAATTCATGTCACACAGTTATTTTGTATTTCATAAATTATGGTTAAAAATTAATTATAAATTATTCGGAACAAAATTAGGATGAACCTAAAAGCTTTTTTTTTGCCGTCTGAAAAAAGCAGTATCCTCAGACCTTATGACACTATTAGAGGCAAATCTTCTAGAGATCACTTAAATGAGCTTTATTTCCTTCAACGAGAGCCATAGAATTAGAACCTGATTCTAATATAATGCAAATACCTTCTTAATAATCAATTTTAATTATTAATATATATTAATAAAAGATATAAGAAAATTGTCACAATTTTTATAAATAATTTGACTTATTTTTTATTTTGTATAAAGAACTTGTTAAAAAGAAAAAGAAATTCATGAGATAATTTTTTTTAGTCTTTTTTTAATGGTTTTTTATTTAACCAAAAACAAGTACAAACAAGAAGTATATAATCTTTATCAATCAACAATAAAATATATCTCAACGAATGAACATGGGATTGATTTTAGATAAAACAAGAGATCCAATTCAAGTTTAGAGATAAATCCTCAATAATACTAGAATTAAATCTCCATTTATATATATAATCACAATCATGCATACTTTCGTCATCTTAAAAACACTTTTATCTTAAAAATCATTGATCAATAAAGATAATATAAATCATTTAAACAAACTAATCAACACACACTTACTAATATGTGTGGTGTGTGTATAACTTCATCAAAACTAAGTGTTGGTGTGAAAAATTTTGACTAAGTTCAAAATATGAGTTTTCCACCAAAGTTAGTGTCATTGAAGGATTTGATGCCTCCGATGCGACCATGATATGAGAAGGCTAAGGAAGAGATTTATGATGAGAATGGGAAGAGGGTTCATTGGCAATGCAGAACAGTGAGGGAAGAAGATGAAAAAGATGAAGAATATTATGTGACACCTTATGCATCATGTTTTGAATTTTGTGATAGGCTCTGTATCAGACCCATCAGATTCTGGATTGACAAGCTTTTTAGGTAGCTCTTCAATTTGCCAAGACCTAATTATGATTGAATAACTATAAGTATTTTTAGTTATTTGCGAGTTATGACCTTAAACAAATCACTTGTTCAATTTCTATCGCATGAATTTTATGAATGCTTTTATATTTTTCCTAGTTATGATCCCATGCATGCAACCATTTTTGCTTTGTTATTTCAATCCGTGATCATACAACTGAAACTGATGTAACTATTAACCAAACTCTCTCACAACTCGGTTTGCATTAAAAAAGCCGTTTTTTATGATTGAGGGGCTGCTTGGATATCACTATGGTTTGGATCCAAAGATTGCCAAACAGGTTGAAAAAATCCAAAATCATGGTTTGAGTCAAAACCATAGTTTCGGGAAAAGCATACTGATTTTGCTTCTGGCTCAAATTTGTAGTTGGTGTGGGCCCCAACGTTATAGGACAAATCAGTCCTCAATTATTCACTCGTTTCTTCATTCCATCAGAAGCCTTCGATCCTTCACTTCATCATAAGCCTTTGATCCTTCACATATTAAATATATACACATGTGGTAACAATCAATTAATTAATTATATTAAAGATCAGAGGTAGTATGTTGTTACAAAAACTAGTTATGAAAAAATGTTATAGAATTTCATGTTTAAAATCTTTAAAGCAAATTAATATTTTTCTGTTAGAATATATACACATATTAATTAATTATTAATTATATTATCTTATATATTATTAATTATGTTAGTAAAAATTACTTTATTAACAATTTTATTTCTTCAAATTAAAATATATTATAAGATCTATCCTTTATATAATTATTATATTAACTTATGCTCATTTTAGTAATTTGCACATGTAAAAAGTGCTTCTGATAACAACTATATATCCAAACGCTCTCATTTTATCAAAATCACCTTTTTACAAAATTTATTCTTTACAAAATCTATTGTCTCCAGAATTTATTCTCTAGAAGCTATTCTCCAAACTATGATTTGGTTTCATTCAAACACCTCTTGAGTCTGTTTAAACTGAAATTGAACCATCACTACTGAGTTAAGAGGGGGAAAAAAGCTTCTCAGGTGTCACGAAAAATGCTGAAAAATCCCAATGCGTTTTCATTTGATTTGTAGCTATATAATGTCATTTTATTGGAAAATGCTTCCAATCACTAGCGCATGTGGGTTATTTTTTTTCTTCTGTTTTTTTTTTTTCAATTAGAGAGATATATACTACCAAGTTGGTGTTACGAGTAGGACCTATCATTTATATATATATATATATATATATATATATATAAGCTTTGATGCTAATATACCAGAAGGTGATTAGTCATGTGGGCTGTTTTAGAAAGACAAAGGCCTTGCTGTTACTGCTTAAGAATTCACTTCCATTAATGCTTTTATTTTGATTGAAATATTATAATTTGAATACAATTCGATCCAATTTTATTAGGAAAAATCACAAAAAAGATAATAGAAATTGCAAAATTGCAAATCACGATCCGTTATAAGATTTGCGTAGGTTTTGACAATAATCGAATGGCAAATGATAAACAAACTTTTTGACAAAACATTTTATTTGCAATTTTGCAATTTTCTCAATGTTTTGTGATTTTTTTCATTTTACTAGTCATTGTACGTACCAAGAATCAAAGAGCATACATAAATTTGAATGAATTAGGAAATATTTGGGTGAAAATCAAATTATAATTTAAAAAATAATTTTACGACATACAAATTTAATATGTGAAGAAATTTATCTCGATTTATAAAAAAAAGTACTTTTTAATGTGTATTTGGAGTATTCCAAACACCCCTTAAGTTAGTGTTGATATTTTATTTCCGTGTGTTGAGTGGTTTGATGGCATTTTAAATTTATATGTTTATCATTTCATCTGCATCCTTTCTCATCTTTACCATCTTACTATAATAGAGAAAGAGATTATTTTTTCTAAAAAATGGAAACATTACTCAAATTAATATTAATAATGATTTGATATCTAAGTATATATCCTTTAAACCTTTTAAATGAAACATTAGCACTTTATTTTTTATAGTCTTGATTCCAAGTAATTTATTAAATTTTCAATTAAGAAACTACTACCTTCTGTTT